ACTCTATCAAATGACTTCTCACTTATTATACTTGGTTGTTCAAGTCTGATCTTCTGGTAGGAAGAGTAATGGTCCCCACAGATATCTACGAGTACATCCTAATTGCTGGAAGATGTGACTGTGTTGCCTTGCAGGGAAAAACTGACTTTGTAGATGTGATGAATGTTAAGGACTTTGAGATGGAGAAATTATCCTGGTGGGTCTCATTTAATCATATGAACCTTTAAAAGTAGAGCATCTTTCTAGGTGTTTAAGCATCTTTCCCAGCTTTTTTCTTAAGTCAGAGAGAGATATGATGACGGGAAGAAGGTCAGAGACATGGAAAGTTGTTGGCTTTGAAGATAGAGGAAGGGAGTCATGAGCCAAGGAATGCAGGCAGCCTCTAGAACCTAGGAAAGTCAAGGAAACAGATTCTATCCTAGAGCTTTAAGAAAGGAACCAGGCCCTGCCAACCTCTTGATTTTAGCCCAAGAGATCTGTGTCAGCTTTCTGACCTTTTTGTCATTTTAAGCCGCTAAATTTGTAGTAATTTTTTAAGATAGTAATTGAAAACTAATACAATCGTCAAGTATGGGAATGTTTTGAGGACCGCAGGAACCCTGGCTCCCAACATTTGTCTGGCACATAGAAAATAATCAGAAAGTGTTTTAAAAAAATGCAAGAACTGGGTGTTCTCGCTCCTCATCCTGCAGGTTGGAGGATAATCCTGTGTAATCTGTCAGCGTCACTCCTGTATTTTTCTCCCCCCATAAAGATAATTCATTTCCCCATTCAAACAGACACTTTACCTCTCCCTCCCTCCCTTATTTTGTTTCCTCAGTCAGCCCATCTTTGTGATATGAGTACTATGGATTCTGGTTAGTCCACATATCTGAAAATGGACATTGTCAATTAGTACTATGAAAGAAAATAAATGTAAAATACACATTTTGAGAACTCTTATAAAAATATAAAAACACTAATTCCCTCAGAAATCATAATAAATAGAGAGAGAAGAGAAGAGCTCAGGTATCATTACAAAATGTTATTGTACCATTTTATCAATGTTTTGTCTTCTGTCTTTGGATTCATTCATTCATTCAATAAGTATTTATTTATTACCTACAATGTATTGGGGACTAAGATGAGATGGTGGGACATTCCAGTTCTCATGCATCTCATTATACTTATGGTTCTATTTAGGAACCTATTTAAGAACACATTTCTCTTTCCAAATTAAACACTTCTTTATAAAGAATTCAGAACGGAACCCTGAAATACATACTTGGGCACTGGATTTAATCCCTATATACTAAGTCAGACTTCACACATGTCTCAAGACCACATGTTTGGCAATGAAAACAGAGATAAAAAAGATGGTCCCAGGAAGAGGAGGAAAAAAGAAGATAAGGGACAGACTGTCCTTCCTTTTACCAGGAGTTTCCAAATTTCAGCCTACTTTAACAACTAAGGCTTTGTTGACACTGGATGAAAATTAAGAATAAAATTTATATTGGAATGTTTGCCTGGTTAGATAAACAAGTGCTCAAAATAATTGTATCATAGAGAAAAATCAGAAACCTGCATAATTTGTGTACTATTTTAGATTTTATAAGCCTTGGAGACATGGAAAACAGTTGATTTTCTAAGTACACTAGACATGAATGTATATTTAATAGTCTATATTTCTATATAAGTCTTCACATACAGGAAATGGGGTTGTCAATATCCTTGCCACTACAGATAGGCCACTCAAAGCTAAAGGAGATGATACTTGGGATTTTCCATCTTATTGTTATATACATATTTTTCATACTCATGAATAAGATAGTTATCCAAAAACCAAAATAGCCAGAATTATATATTTTCTCATGCTTCTATATTACATAATGACTTGAAATCATCTCACCCATGAGGAAAGTTGCCTAAAGTTGAAGATGAAATGATTAAATAAACAACCACATCAGATTGTATTAAGAAAACATAACATGATTCACAAGATAATCAATTTGAAAACCTAACTTTCAGTTTTTGTTTTGATTAAAAAAAGAGAGAGAAAGAGACAGGAATTCTAGAGTGTAAATGTGTTGTCAATAACTTAATAGTCTATCATCCTGAAGTCTTAATTGGCCGTGAGAACTTTTTCTTGATTTTCAGCAGATCCTGAACTAGTATCTAAGAATAAACCTGAATACTGCATTGACCTTTTCAAAGTAGAAGCATTTGAAACACATATCCGACTAATGCAAATTATAATCTTTTAAAGGTACAGTTTTGTGGCAAAATGGACAAAACCTAAGATCACAATTCTCTCTTAAATACATATGCTATATGTACTATATGCTATATGTGACCAGGCCTATCTACTTAAGTTAACTTAGTCCCACTTAGTTTTTTACATTTTTTGCTGACCCACCGATCATTTTTTTCCCCTGCTCAAGTCTTTTGCAACCTAAAACTTATTATTTGAAAACTGTATTTCAGTTAATTATCCCCAAAATGAATCCCCACCTATCAGCCTATTTCTAATAGTTGATTCTTCATGGTCCGTCAATGAATTATAAAAATGAAATGACTGTTTGCACTGTGTTGTCATTGCTCCCTCTCCCCCAACACCCCCCCAAAAATGAACAAAAAAATACTTACAATGGTTCTTAGCCAGGAGCATTTTATCCCTTATTCACTAGTGGTAAATGAGTCAGATATGAGTTGGCCAGGAAAAGAGCTGCTTTACCCAAAATCTTAGTACAAAATGAGTCATCTCACTCCAAACACCAATATATCCTCCAAAATAACTGGCAAGAATTTCCTATAAAAAGAATCTCGCCTTCACCCTTTTCCATCCATTTAGCTCTCTGATTTTTCTAATTTTTCAATTTCCTGTGCACTTAGAATACTACATTCATAACAAAGGCCCACAAACACTTCCACCTTTTCATCTCGCTGAGAAAGTCCTCTTTCCTGTATTGAGGAGGGGGACAATTCTGATAGTATCCCCCTGAAAAGAATAAATGCTCTGTGGCTTTCAAGGTTATGCTGTCTGATTCTCTCAGATGAAATTCATGCATGGCTCAATAGAAATGCAAAAGTCAGTTCTAGAATAGTTTTGCTTTTCCTAAGCTGAAAAAGTGAGTTCAAAGCCATAGAAAATATTTCAAGCGAAACCATCTTTCTTCCCACAAGAAAAATCAATCAAAATGGATACAATCTGTTTAAAACTGATAAACAAACAATGAACTGAGGCCACAAGCTTCAACTCTTGTTTCCCTGTATGTCCAAACATTCTCATTCCCATTCTCTCGCCGCCATCAGATGAGGCTGAAAAATCACTGTGAACTGAAGCCAGTGGGAAGTCCCTGCAGATGAGCGGGCGTGAAACATACTCTACCTGAGAATAAACAAGCACGCTCGCTCCTGCCAAAGGCCTGAGGTTCTGATATTACTTGGGGCTCATCACGTGACTTATTATTCTTAATTTATTCTAAGCTCTGCAATTTAATGAGCAAAATTACTTATAATTCATTTCACTTAGGTTGGAAGTAAGCTTTCTGCTTTGTTTCTCTATATTAAATGAATTCTCAAGAATAGCTATTCTCCTTCTATATCCAACACTAACAGATGCTAGTTTCCTCAGTTTTATAGCCCTCAAATGACAGGCAACTAACTGAATTTGGCCTTTGGAATAACTACAACGTCTTTGGGTTATGAACTTGGTTCAGTTCTTAGCTGGGAACGGCAGGGGGTTAGCTTATATTATCAGAGACGTAAAATCAGTTTTCCCTTATGTTCCAGATGCCCGTATGAAGATGCCTTTTAATACAATATTGCACAACTTTTCCCCCCCTTACTGGCAATTTGTTATTTAAGTGGTTATGGTAAGAAAAAATAATTGTATACAAGTGAAATCTCTTGTTCAATGTATCTGCTGCTCTTGACCAAAACAAGATGTTAAATCCATTAAACTTTGAATACTCAGTAAAAGCAAGAATGCTAAAGCTGTTCAAATTTGTGCATTCTTGGGAAAACTGCCAATCTATGCACTAGTAGCAGGATCTGTGTAATTAATGGTGATATTATTGACACAGGGAATCCGATTTCATTCTCAGAGGCAATTTTAAAGTGCAAGCTGGCAGAGATTCAGCATAGCCTCACCTGATTTGCTTTTCAATTGAGGAAGTGTGACTTTGAAGTCAGCTGTAGAAAGCACCGATGTTAGTGTATGTACATTTGTGGTGGCTTTGGTCACAGTAGACTTAAAAGAAATTCTGCATGTAGCATTGTCTGTAGGATAGGACGATGAACACCAAAATGCATAAACCAGCAAACATTTTTTTAAAAGAACAAGCAAACCCAATCTTAGGTGAACCTTGTTTGTTTGTTTTTTTTCCTGAAAGCTATATTCATATGAAGGCTAATTGAAATCAAACCCTTCAGATCAAAATGTAAAATAAAATCAGACTCAAGTCCACACTTTCCTTTACACACATTGCTATCTCGTTTGGGGGCAACTTCCATCTGTAGCTAGCCATTGTACCTCTAGGACAGTCATTGAAGGAGCGTGTATGTATTTAGGCTACCCAGCTGACTTAGCAATACATCCAGCGTCTGCTCTCCTTTTTTTCCCTTTGTTATATCAGTAATTTCAAAATGATGAGAGAAAGAAAAAGAACAGGCAGAAAAATGGAGATAAAAATAGAGAAAGAAGCCCACAAGCCACTGTTTCCATAATAATCTGCACTGAATTCGCCAACAAGGAGTGATTTTTCTCATCATCTATCTCATCCCCTCCATTTCTCTGTGAACCGCAACCACATGTTCCAGCTCTGTGTTTCCATGAAGACTGAAACCAATGAATGAATTCTTGATAGTTGATAGCATGTGCTGTGGCATCTGTGGCTCTGGACAAGACAGGTGCAGGTGGAGAAGGCAGGTGAATGGGGAGGCTGGAGAGAGGTTCACGAGCGTTCATGATGAGGCTGGATGTTACTAACCTTCATGATTCCCCCATGATGGGTCCCTACCTGCTGTCTTCTCGAGCGAAGGGCTGTTCCACATCCACCGTCAGGGAGGCCAGGGCAGAAACGGTCTCTGTCTCCTCTTGCAGCTGAGCCCCAGCCAGAGCACAGCCCCTTGGCACAGCCACTCTCCTTACCGACTTCCAGTACTTGCCTAGAAAAAGAAAAGCATCATACTTTATATAGGGATTTCAGTTAGAGCAGTATTAATCAGAATATTCATATGGGTCCAACTCAGAGGAGTTGTTAAAATTCACCATGTTATACATAGTTATAATTTGGTTTCTTAACTGTTATGATTAGGTTTTTTTCTCAATCTAAGAATGCCAAGTTGGGAAGTGCTCATATTCCCAACTCGCAGTCTCTCCCTTGCTCAGAAGGTAATAAAGTGAAGAGTAATCCATGGTCTAATGAACTCACTATTAGACTGACAGCTGTCTCTGCAACTAAGTTAAGCAAACTCTGGGCATCATGCCCTCTGAGAAACCCTCAAGAGACTGGGAGGTAGATGTCTCATGGAGAAATTGAATGAAATAGTAATGTTAAAAATTGCTACTTGAGCCATTTACTTCTTTTTTTTTTGAATGAGGTTGGAATATTAAAGAAAAAGAAAAGCCCAAAAATGCCAGCATGAACTGAGTGGCAACTTTGCCAGAAAAATCAGGCTTGTTAGTCCTGGATGTTCTTTCCTTCTTGACCCCAGGGTGTGCACTAGAACAATAATTGATTTAAAACTTTAATATATGCACTGGCTGATGTTGGAAACCTTCCATATGTCGTAGGGATGTTTCTTTTTTGGAGATAGGGAAGGAGAATGAGAGGAAAATAGGAGGTCATTTCATGAGAACATGCCAGTGGGATAAGTATGAAAGAGCAGAATTAAAGACCTTCTTGCAGCCCCTACACTACTTTCTTTGTGAAGTGTTCTGTAGCCCCAAAATCAAAGCAGGAAAACCTCCCCATGTGCTGACATGACTCTCAAGGTTAGAACTATCTCTGCAGCCTGGCCAGTTAGGTGGGAAATGGCATACATTGTTTGCTCACTTCCACTAGAGTTGAAAAGGCAAATGGGTGCGTGCTGGGTAGAGAAGGGAGAAGCTGGGTTGAAAATCCAGCTCCACCACTGACCGCCTCATGATCGCAAGGCTCTCCTCCAGCACTTTATTACTGCTTCTCAAAACAGGGGGACGACCTCAAATCCCTTCCAGCTCTAACTAACATTTCATGACAGGCCTTTCCTTATCTTACTGCTTCACAAAGGAATGAATGTCTCCTTAGAGGAAGAGGCCCAGTCTCCCCATCCACTCCCCAAGCCAACAGAACCTTCTGACATAGTTGTCTCCTACTCTTTTACTTGCAGTGATCCTCTATTCTGACCAATGTCCTGTGAATCTTAAAGCTTTTAATTTGGACCAAATAACAGCAATTTTAACTGTGAGTGAACTCACACACGAACATGTTTTAGAAAGCTAAGGCTGTGCCAGATAGTGAGGACAAAGATGCTTCCCTAGCACCAAGAAATTCATGGTCCCATTGAGACGGCCCTTTTAGTTAACAAACAATGACAATTCTGTGTAGAAAAGGCCCATGTGTTCCTGAGAGGAAATAAGTAGAACATCTACTTATGATGATGGGAGAGTGAAAGAAGATTTGCCAGAAAAAATAACACTTGATCGAATATTTGAAAGACCACCAGAAGTTTGTCAAGCTGATATAGAGGGAGGCAGTAATGACAAAGTATCTCTGGAAAAGGAAAGAGTGTATAAAAATATGCAGAAACTTGAGTTTCTGTAGTTTCTTGGGGTATAAAATCCACTGCCAGGCATAACTGGCACATAGGAAAAGTATGGATGTGATGAATGAGGCTGCTGTGATAGGCATGGGCTAATTAACCCATAATCTTGAATGACATGAATGATCTTGGACTTCAGCTTGTGGAGGATGAGGGCCATTTCGTGCAGAAGAGACAGAAAATCAGGTTTAAGTTTTTAAAAGCTCCCTCTGGAGAGATCATGGACCATGGATTGGAAGGTGATGAGAGTGGCAGCAGGAAAACCCATTTCGCATCTTGGCAAAAGTTCAGGGAGAAACGATGACGTCTACATGAAAAGGAAATAATACAACAGAAATGAGGAGATGGACTGAAGACAGGTTTAGGAGGTAGGCAATGAAAATGTATCTTGGCTTATTCTTTAGTGTCCCCTACCTCTCTCAACTTTGAAAGATGGCCCTGAATGGACAGTTCCACACAAGACCCCAATTTTTCTAGATCACAATGTCATTATAATCTTACCCATGTTGGAAATGCTGTGTTTCATCTATAAGTGCATTCAACTGTAATGAGTTTCACAGAATCTTATTATTGAACATGATTTTAGCTCATGATATTCTCAAACTGGTGATGCTGGATCACATGCTTTCCTTTTTCTCTAGAGTGACTAACATGGGGCCTTCGACACACAACCGGTAGCTGTTGGTTTATGGGTTAAATTATGTTAGAAACTCTACAAGAGATCACTATTGATCTCCAAATATGTGTCAAGGACTGTGTTAGGTGTGCTCACATTTATAATTTATATTTCATTTAATCCTCATAACTATGTAGACAATGATAGGTAATGTTTTTGAAGGTTACATGGCTGACAAGCAGAGAGAGAAGCTGAAATCTTCAACTAGGACTTCCTGACTCCAAAACGTATCTTCTTCTGTATCCTGTGGTCCTCCTTTATTTGGTCCGCCTCTACCCTCACATAAAAAGCAAAAATAGACTCAATACATGAAAATACCAATTTAAAAAGTTATGCACATTGCAAAAGAATTATATATACTCTTCATGAAGGAATCATCTTTGCTAATAACAAGTTACCCTTATTCCTTAGATGCGTGACTCCATTGATCCACCTTTCATTGGCTTAATAGCATGGGTTTATTGCACCATGTGAGACAACCAGGTTGAAACTAAATTTTTCTACTCTTCATTTCTCACGCAAGGACCTGGTTACCAGGTATAAGTCACTGACACAACTATCATGAAACTGGTGACAAGTACCTACTGAAGAGTACGAATAAGAAGTCCTCGAGGATGGCGCACTGAACTAAAAGCCAAGATTTCCAGATTGCAGACTCCACACACAGAGAAATCATTTGGATCACTCTGGGACACAATTTCCACATTTATAAAATGATAGTGGTGGGCTTGATAATAAATGAAAGGTCTCTTCTTGCTCTAATTCTCAATGATTGTGATTCATTTGATCTCATATTACATATCACTCTTGGATATAAGAATAAATTTATGACAGAAAATATTACTTTTCTGTGATCCTATGAACCCTTGAGGAGGTCAGCAACATTTACTTTTAGATAATATGGCACATCTAGAATAACCAGAGGCTTTAATTTTCAAGCACTGTGTTTTTTCTTCAAGAAGAGAGCTCTTGGTCATAGACAAAACAAACATCATTACTCCTAAAACACAATCAGTACAGAAGGTATGAATCATTAATAATGCTGTTTCAGCGGAATGACTGACAATGACCCTTCAAAGTTTAGTCTTTATGTATGTGAGTAGTAAGGAAGATTTTGAATAGCTGAGACCTTTGCGAATAAAATGTAATGTGTATAAAATATCCTACTAAGAAAAAATGTTAGAAGTTTGGCTTTTATCCAGATGCATGAAGTTCCTGACTCAGAAATAACCCAAAACGTTAAATTCAATATGGCCCCTGGCAAAGCCTATAAAAACAAGGGAAATATTCTATATTAATAATGCATTTATAGACCACTATCTCTATTTGTCAAGAACAATAATTAAAGTGGGTACAGGCTGTGAAATAGGCAGCCAATTCAAATCCCACAATTTATGGGTTATATTTTCGCATGATGGGTAGAGTTTTTTTTCTTTCAGAAACATATGCAAGAAAATCATATCTGTTGGCATGGGAATAATACCCCCAATTAGCACATAAGAGAAATGAACCAAGGTTTATTACTAGAGTTTTTAAGAGCTGTTATTCATAAAATAAAATATTAGTAACCGGCCACTACCTGGGTTGCTCTCCTAAGGCAATAAAACTAGCAAAAGAGAGTTTTCCATTAACACAGGTTTGTTCTTCCCATTTGAATGATGTCACCTTTTGTCACTGCACACATGTTCTCATAGGAAAAGAAGCTGGTACTGACCTAAACCTCTTCTTATTCCCTTCATACTTACAGATTATTAATACCTGGACTTACGAGGGCATCAGTTCATGAACTTTCCAGAGCTCAGAGCTTCTTAATACTTCTTAAAGATACATTTTATAGTTACATGGAGAACTTTATTAGTCTCCAAAGCATTATGTATATGCAAAAATAAAGATGTATTGAAAATAGGTGTATAAATAGAGGGACCAGGTAACTTTCCATCCAAGTTGGGACAATTTTGAGGTTAAAATAGGGCTAAAAATAAAAATTGTATGATATGGAAATCTTCATTTATTGGTCAATGTATTATTTTTATCAATGGACCCATAAAACAGTCCTACTCAAAAATTATTTTCATACTAAAATTCATTCCAAAAAAATAAAAATAGCATAATTCATGTATAAGCACAATAACCAACTTCTTTATATTGATTATCTTAACATCAGAAAAATGGCATAAGTAGAATTATGATTGTTGGTCAATATTCACATATGTTACTCAGTTTTGTGGCCATATCGCTCACTGATAGAATATTATTGGTACTTTTTATGAAGAATGTAGTTTTTACTTCAAAGTGGTCTAAATATTAAACTTTTTCATAAAATTTCCTGCAGTCTTCTTCACAGTGGAATTAATGGTTAATAAATTTGAAATTGTGGCATTTTTAATCTACTCTTCTGAAGAGACTATAATATTTTTGGTTGACAAACACTATCTCTAAAAGTGTAGTACTATCTGGTAAGCTCAGAGCAATTTCTGCTAAATATGAAATATTTTCACTTTAGCTGTTAAAACATTGAAATGAGTAACTATTAGGTTGTCAGAAAAGTCATGATGCATTTTTGCAATGAAAAACATAAAAAAATACATTTTTGACTTTTCCGACAACCCAATATTTCATACCAAATATTTTCACAACTACTGTCTTTTTCCTCCTTTAGTACCTTTCTTTAGCAAACAGTTTATAT